CCCCGCCTCCGGGGCGGCCCCGTTAGGGCACCGGGGGGAGCCTGAGCCTGAGCCTCCCGCTGGAGGCCGGCGCTGGGGCCGCGTCTGCGCGACCAACGGAGGGGAGAAGCAAGGAGCCCGCGGCAGACGGTGACGAAGGGGCTGCGGCCGGGATTCTGCCCTTTTCCCGGAGGCAGGGGCCCTTCTTCCTCCGGACAAACTTGCCGAACCGCCTCGTCCTCACGCGAGCTCCGGAGCCCGGGACCCGGCCGTGTATCGAGCTGAGCACTGAAGGGGGCTGAGCAGGGATGGTGCGGGCGAGCAAATGGAAGGCGGGACTTGGAGACAGGAGAAAAGAGCCTTTAGCGAGGTTTTTTCCTTCTTTTTAAAGTTTCCCCCGCCGCTCTACAGTTTGAAATACATTTGATTTCTTCTGACAAGGGCTTGAATACAGAAATAGAGGTTCCCGAAGCAGTACTTGTTACCACCACTTGGGATGCGCTCAAAGCATTTCTATAATATATTAGGTTAAAAATGCTGACGGTGACCCGCTAAATTGATTTTCTGACTCACTAATGTGTCACGACCAAACACACCGGGTTAGAGCAGCCCTGTACACTTATAATTTATGAGTATATGTTGCGTTTTCTACCATACTCCTGACTCAAGCCCAATTAGAGTCTTGCCGCCTAGAGTTCGCAGTTTAGTGAGAGATACAAGAAAGTAAATAAAATGACAATGCTGGTCAACAGTAGATGCCAGCACAGAGCCATCAAACCCTGCCTTGGAGTGAGGGCATCAGGATTCTGGGGGAGCCAGGACAAAACAGTTAAAATGATGCATTCTGGGGAAACCCCAAGCCTGTTCTAGGGCCTGCCTTCCAACTCTCCGTTACTAAATTGAACTGCAGTGCCTCCCAGTGATTCTCAAAAGGTTCTCCACAGTGGCTAGTCTCTTGTACCTTAATATTTATTATTAGTATTTATTTATTTATTTATTTATTATTTTAAAAATAAAAGGAGGAAAACATTAACAGACAACCTTTTATAAAATAGCAAAAGAACAGTACAGACAATACAGAGTTAGAAACAAAGTGGTAGGAAATCAACAATGCTTATTGTATTACATATTGATATCTTCAAAGTGCTTTCTCAGGAAAACAGATACAGACATGCAATTTATATTCACTGTGTTTTTCTTTCTGTCACCAAGTAGTTTCTTTATGTGTGATAATCCTTGGGATTTCCCCTAAAACTAGATCTAGTTTCCTGTGTGTGTGTGTGTGTGTGTGTGCTTAAATAGTTATTGAGGACTAGTATATAGGTTTGGTTTTTCTTATCTTCAAAATGGTACTGGACGAAAACAGTTTGTACTACTCAGACCAAGTAATGACACAGTTTAAGAATATTAAATCTCACCATACCTCTCCTCCAATCTCCTGGAACCGTGACACTTTGTGATGGTGTTTTCTGGGAACAAAATACTCTATACCTTACAGAATTTATAAAGAGGGAATACTGTACAACATGAGGAAGATAAGAATTGGAACCTCCCTGAGTGGTTCTATTCAGAGAATTCTTTCATTTTATACTGAATTCCTAAACTGAATTTCTGGTTCTCCTCAGTAGAAATATGTGGAAAGGTGAAATGCTTCTGTGTTGAAGACTTGGATAACCTATCTTTAATATTAAAAACATGGAACATTATATTTAACTACCTACTCACCATTATGATGACCTGAAACCAGTTATGAACATATATGTGTGTTAAGATGGAACTTTGCTGTGTAAAAGTAGAACAGGATTAAAAATAACTGGTGTTTATTAAAGGGCTATTTTGTTCGAGAGAATATAGGTAGTGAGAACAGTGTACACTATCAGTAACTTTACAATATAGTTAGAAGAACAGAATATTGATCAAACTGTTGTATTAGAGGGAGAATTTACAGGAGCAGATATGAACATGCTAGAGGTGCTAGTACTGAACTAAGTGTTTTATATATCCCCTCATTTAATCCTTACAGCAGCTCTATGAGATAGGTGTAGCCCCATGTTTATCCAATATTTACCATAGTCATGGAAGAGGAATTATAAGGTTTGGCAGACTGACCAGTTTAGGATCACGTAGCAAATTATTAGCAGAGCAATAACTTGAATACATCATTGCCTTTAAAGTCTTTTTTCTACCTGCCATCCCATAGTGCAAATGAAAGAGGTAGTTCATGAATGCTTTGTTTCTCTCTGTCCTGCCCCTAGTTTTACAGGTATTTATTAAGGTAATCAAGAGAGAAATAGCTCATCATTTAGGGTCATATTCCTTACCTTACATGAGAACACTGGTGGAAAAACTGACCAAGGAAATCCAAACTGACTTACATAAATCTCCCCATGGATGTCCTGGTGATGATGCTAATGAAGAAAGTCAGTATTATTCTGGTTGCTTTTTTTTTTTTTTTTTTGGTGTTAGGAATTGAACTCAGGACCTTGTGCTTGGCAGGCAGGTGCTTGTGCCGCTGAGCTATTTCCCCGGCCCTGTTGTGGTTCCTGAATGTGGAAAGGAGCCCCAAGTCAGGACCCAGACCATGAAATGCTAACCAGGGTAAATAGGGCACCAATTGAACCAGCTCATTCCAGGGATCAGATATCTACCTACTGACAGTAGACCTATTAGTTATAGATGACCAACAAATGGAAAATACATGTTCAGTTTAGTAGATTTCGTAAGTCAAACTAGAATGAAGTCTGCACTGAGGAGTAAGACTGAATTAAGGTGGGCGATGGAAGGTGTTTTTAAACAATGCTCAAGGAGAAGCAAAGCTGTTATGACATCAGGGATTTGCAAGGCTAAATTGCTGAGAAGGTAATTTAATAATAGCATTGTAATAGGAGCTGTCTTATATTTGCAGATTCAGGTGCTGTGTTTACATTTGGGAAGACCAAATTTGCTGAAAATATGCCTAGCAAATTCTGGTTTAAGAATGACATACCTATGTATCTTTCATGTGGAGATGAACATACTGCTGTTGTTACTGGTTAGTATTTATAATCCTAAATGAGGACAATAATAGAGAATCTTAAATCTTATAAATGTGCTATGTTTTATGTGTATGTTGAGGATAGTTTCTTTTATGATACTAGAGAATTTTTCACAAATCGATTCAAGAAGTTCTTCAATCTTAATTTACCTTAGTATATTTAAGTATAATTTTCTATATGTACAGCTTTTTTGGAATAAATCTATTTCAGTATAAAAAATTGTTGTTATATAGTCTTTGAAACTCTGTATACCTTGTAGAATCTGGCCATATGTAGTCAGACAAGCAAAAGTGTCTGTTGTTTCAGTGTAAAGGAATCACTTTATTTTTATTTTATTTTATTTTATTTTTTGGTTTTTCTCTGGTACCGGGAACCGAACTCACGACCTTGCGCTTGCCAGGCAGGCGCTTTGCCACTGAGCTAAATCCCCAGCCCCTAAGGAATCCCTTTAAAAAATAGCTTTTTTATTGCATTATGACGACTATCTTGTAGTATTTATGTGATGAATGCTTCACTTTGTTATTCTTCCTTCCCATTAGGAAATAATAAACTTTACATGTTTGGCAGCAACAACTGGGGTCAGCTAGGATTAGGATCAAGAGCAGCTGTCAAGAAGCCAACGTGTGTCAAAGGTTTGGGGTCCTTTCTTTACCACTTTAAATACTTAACAAACTTTATAAAGTACTTTTGTGCTGATTGTATAGTTTAATGTGGTAAATAATAAAATCTTTACTCTTTTGGTAAAATTTACTTGGGTATTGGTAGCATTTAACTTTATATGAAATTCAGACCTTCTTTTATATGATAGAATATAAAAAAGTCACCTTGACTTTAATCTTAGGAACCACAAAGGAAGTATTGATGCCACAGTATTGCATTTGAATATCTTCTTTTGCCTATTTGTAAAGCCACTTAAATAAGTATTACTGTTATTGCGTATATTGAAAAGAGACTTTATAATATGCTCGAATTTGAGATCTATCTCATTTATATCATAGTTATATGTAGTTTCTGGTTTTATAAAACATACTTTGTCCGGAAGTATATAGTAAGTAGATGAACAGAACAAACATCAAGACTAGGGATCGATTAGTACTCATGTGTAAGAGTAACAGGACAAAATATTTGAAAGCAGGTCTGTTCCAGAATATTTGGGATGTATAATACCCTTCAAAACTTTCTCACTGTGAAGTGCAGATCCTTTGGGTATAGCCTACATCAGCTAAACAACCCAACATCAACTAAATTTGAAGGCTGTGTAAATGCCTTGGGATATGACAACAACACTGTATGTTATTTTTCTGACCAAATTTTAAATTTCAGCTTAAAATTTCAGTGTGAGTTCATCATCGATCCTAACTACAGGTGTTGTTATAGAACTTTTGAGGTATTCCACAGGGCCAAAATGCGTTTGTTGAGCACTGACTGCCAAATATTTGGGGGTACTCATGGTGATTATGGTTGTTATTCTCAAATATCTGTTTAACACGATAGTCTATACTATGAGATCCTTGAGAATAGGGATTCTTTTTTTTTTTTTTTTGGTTTTTTTTTTTTTGTTTTTTTTCCGGTACCGGGAACCGAACTCACGACCTTGTGCTTGCCAGGCAGGCGCTTTGCCGCTGAGCTAAATCCCCAGCCCCGAGAATAGGGATTCTTATTTTAGTCATGTGCGCACGTGCTATCCCAGGTGCTATCTAGAATATTTCCCTTAGGAAATACTTTTTTGAATATGTAGATGAATAAATGAACAACTTTAGCATAGGTGTATGCCTATGAATGTTGGACTTAAAATTTTTCATTGAGTGTGGTAGATGGTAAGCTTGATAATGGTGGTGGCAGGTTAGCTAAAGGATCTCCTATCCGACACTCACTGACACCCTTTCCAAAACTTCACTGGTTATTATGAAGCATAGTCCTGATAACCTCTGGTGTAGTAGTTAAGAACATCAACTCTGGAGTCAGACAAGCCTCCGTTTTGGGTTGGAGTGTAGCTTACTGGTACAGTTCAAGCTTAGATGTTCAAAGCCCTGAGTTTAATTACCAGCACCATAATAAATGAAGCTCAGTTCTATAACTTAATTACAATTTGACTGGGATTATTTATTATTTTCATATTTATAAGATACTTTAATTGTCATATTATTTTAATTTTAGCTCTTAAACCTGAAAAAGTGCAACTTGCTGCCTGTGGAAGGAATCACACCCTAGTTTTAACAGGTATAGTTTCAACCTATATGACCTGCCTAACATTGAAAACTGAGGTCTTATTCAGTAACATCTGTGGCTTTGTAAAGTTAGTAGAAATGGTACCTTGGCAATAGTTAGATTAGGGTTTTTAAAAAGTAAATATTTAGTATACATATTTGCCTATGTAAATATGTAGATAAATCTTAAATGAGTGAAGAAAAACTTTTCTTAGGTTATATCTGGAGATAGCATCTCTTTACCTGTGGGCAAATCTCAAGGGCTGGTTACTTGTACTCTTTTTCTTTGTTATTTTTCAATTTAACATTTATAATATCTTTATTATACCTGTCCTGTCCACAATGATGAAGCACTTTCATATTACATACATTTGACTTAGTAACATGTACCTTTATACTACAAAGCAAAAATAAAAGTGTTTATTTGCCCAGTACATTAAATATTTGACTTGCATTTTGACAGTTTAAAACTACATAACTGAAAATTTTAGATGTATGCTTACAGATATATTTTTGTACTTAATTTTATTACCCTACATGTAACAATTTTAGACTTCATGCTTCTTAACTAGTGTTAATGTTTACCATCAAGTCTTTCATACTGATTACCACTATTGCTCTTTTCTTTTTTCTGACACTGACTGGAAGCCCTTCAAAAGGCTATGAGTCCTCTCAATTCCAATCAAAATCCAAACAGGCTGTATGTGGTAGAAGTTCATAAAGTAGTTCTAAAATTTATATGGAAAATCTGAGGACACAGTAGCTAAAACAGTTTTGAGAAAGAATGACATGGGGAGACTGGTAGTACCCAATTTCAAGACCTGTAAAGCTACAATAATTAAGGCAGAGTGGTATTGACAAAAGATAAACAAAGATTAATGAAACAGGATAGAGTCTAGAAATGGATTCACACATACATGTCTGATATTTGACAAAGATGCTAAAGCAATTCATTGGAGAAAAGGATCATATTTTCAACAAATGCTGCTGAGTAGTTAGTAGTCCCTAATTCCTGAGAAGTCCTCGTTTGCACTCCCTACTCCACCTGTCCCAGCAGCTTCCATCTTCAAATTGTTTTCTCTCCTTGGCTCCTCCTCCTTCTCTGCCTTTCTTCACACTTTTTTTTCACTGTTAATAGAGGAAAGATGGTATATAGTGACTTACTTCATAAAGAGGATGACTATAGGATATTAATGTTTCTTTTCCGTATACAGCAGTAGGCAATGTGTATGCAGCTGGAGGAAATAATGAAGGGCAGTTGGGACTTGGTGACACTGAAGAGAGAAACACTTTTCATCGTATTAGCTTTTTTACATCCCAGCATAACATTAAACAGCTCTCTGCTGGATCTAATACTTCAGCTGCACTATCTGGTGAGACTTGTTTTCATTTTAATCTGGGACACATGCTTTCCTTCATACCAGAATATACCAACTCAACTCAAGATAGAATTGCTGTTTAGTTTTCTTTCATTGACTTTGTGCTTTGAGAAGACGTTTAAAATATAAATTGAAATAACTTTATTTAAAATAAAGTGAGATACAAATATACATTTGGGGAAGTATTGGTAAATAAATTCTAACCTCTGCTGCACATCTACTCCTTTAGATGTTCTTAAATAATATCTTCATTGCATGTTCTGAGAGTTAGTTGCAGCTTTGATCAAAGTTGCGTATGTTGTAATCTGGTAACTGAGCAACTTTGTTGAAAATAACAATATGGTAATATAACAACCATTGTTAATTCCTATCATCTTGTTTTGAAATCCTGTATCATTTTTATTGTTTTGTATTATTTTTGTCTTCATTGTTATTTTGTTTTTTTTTATCTTTAACATAAAAAAGGCAAAAACTATATAGCTTGTAATGGTCCTTGTATCCCTTTACTTTTCTTGTCAAAAGCATGCAGGAGAACATTTTTTTAAAATATTGGCGCCATGGTCACTTTGGTCTTGCCGAAGTTGCTGGTTTGTCCCAAGCAGGAAGCTGTGTAAACATCCAGTGTTTCTCTGGACATCAGCAAAGTCACAGTAGCATGTGAAGCTCTGTCTCTTCATTTCATCAAATATAGTTAGGTTTTCAATATTCTTTCAGTTCTTTTCAGTTATCATTTTATTTGCCTTATAATTAAATAACTTCAAAAAGATTAACATTTTTTAAAATTGAAAGAAGTAGATAGTTATTGACAATTCCTTTATAAAATCTTCATCTTACTTTACCTACTACTGCAGCTTAACAGAAAGAACATTAAATTAACATGTTTTTGAGATACTGTATGTGTTACTGTATCTTATTCTCAGAAGCTAGAGTCTGAATTTTTAGATCTAAATTATAAGAAAAAATGCAGTAGTGAAATAATGTTTTTCTTTTGAAACAATTTCCATAGTGCTTACTTTTCTGGCTTGGAGGTGTCCATTGTGACTCCTGTTGTCCCTCAGTTCAGTGGCAGGTATATTGCTTGGAGGAAGGAAAACATTTCTGTTTATAGAGACCTTACAGTAGAACAAGATGATTGTAGAAAATGGCATCCTGGGTTTTCTGTTGACATAAAAATATGGATAGAATTAAAGTGATTTACAATCAAATTATTCTTTGTTCACCATTGTGGTAATATTATACAACTGAATCTGAATTTATAAGTAGCTATCTGGTGTAAATATCTTAGTATTCTTTTTTTCAAAACACAGATTTTCTAAATTAAATGGCCCTGCTACCTTTCAAACCTTTTCTCTCCTTGTGTTTCTTTTATAGAGGATGGAAGACTTTTTATGTGGGGTGACAATTCTGAAGGGCAAATTGGTTTAAATAATGTCATTAATGTGTGTGTCCCTCATCAAGTGAACTTTGGGAAACCAATTTCTTGGATCTCATGTGGATATTATCATTCAGCTTTTATAACAAGTAAGACAGAACACTTTGGGTTTATAATATTCTCTCTCATTTCGAAGTTACTTCTAAATTAATAATATGATAAAACATTCTTTAGCTCTATAGGAGTAATGCCATGGTTGTCCATGTAATGGTATGATTTGGGTTTGTGTTACCTCAAAGTGTTTCTCTGTTGCTAGACACCTCAGCTTCTTAAGCAAATGCTAGATCTGTTAGAAAATTAAAATTTATATTTTAGAAGCCCATCTAAACTTGGTCCTCAAACTTCTTAGCCTGCTTTGGTATTAAAAACAGGACCTATGGATCACTTTCCTTTGGAACTACTTATTTCTATCCTTTGGCCTATACTTCTGTCAAACTGATAATTTCTGTTATTGTTTCAAATACATTGAGCCCTATTCTTTCCTTGTGGGAAACTGGATGAAGACTAGTTGGAATAGGAGAGCTCCGTATGAGATACGGTTTTCTTAGGTGGGATTTTTCTCAGCATCCCTAAATTTCTCCCATTCCTGGGCCCACTGGCAGTCTTTTGTGTCTTAGTTAAAGTATTTGAAATGTGAAGTATAGTTGTAGCTTTCTATCTAATTAATGATTATCTTCACAGTAAAAGTATCGGAGGAAATAGTTCTGTGGACTCTATTAAACATGTCTCTAAATCTTCATTTTACATATTTACTGTTTATTGCATATACCACAGATCAGGTTTACAAAGTGTTCATTGATCAGTCCCAGTCCCTGTATCCCAGCATACCAAGATTGGGCCACCCTGACTTTGTTAGTACGGTTTTGTTCACTACTGTGTTCCTGATGTCTTGAACAAACTGGTAATAAATGAATGGAAGGAGTGAGTCACTTTTATCAATAAATTTTGCTTTAGCCATAAAAGGAACAAAAAGAATTATTCATCTCCACCAACAAGCATACATTGGGCCTTTTGTGTATCTTTACGAAAAGCTTTATTGAAATATAATTCACATACCATACTATTTACCTATTTAAAATTACAATTTAATATTTTTCATTATATTCACAGGTGTGTACCTGCCACATACTTTTGTACTAAATATTTTGCTGGAGATTCAGTATATAAGCTGGCGTAAATTATCAGTAATTTTCACGGTAGCCATTATTTTATGACTTTCATGATTTAAAGCTACTTTTTATACACCATGAAAATAACTGAAGCATAGAGTTTTTGCTTAATATAGATTTCATGATAGATTAAATCTGGAAATGGACTATACTGAATTCATCTTTTTTTCTCTGTGTGGCATTGGAAGACCAAAAAGAATAGTTTTTTTTTTTTTTTGAAGTAGTAGAGATTAAACTGAGGGCCTTTGCACTGAGCTACATCACACCCATTTTTTATTTTTATTTTAAGACAGGGTCTTGCTACATTGATATTACCTAGGCTGGGTTTGAATCCTCCTGCCTCAGCCTCCCTGAGAACAGTTTAATTTTTAATGGAACTGCAGAACATATTAGTGAGAAAGTCATGTTTAAGACTTTCAGCAAATGTATAATTTACTATTATGTTTGAATATTTAAGTTTGCATTCTAAGTTATATAAAATATTTAATCTTTTTTAAATATTAGAAGTAAAATATATAGAGTTTTTCAGTATTGTCCTTGATTCTGGTGTCTTCATTTGACACATTAATGGTTGGGTCTGAGCATCTCAATCAGTGATTCATACAATAAGAGGCAATTAGGTATAGCACCATTGGAGGGTACAAATAAATGAGTTGAGCTTTTTGGAACTGGGGGCAGAGATGTGTGGAGCAGTCTTCAAAAACCTGTCAGAGTGATGAAGGTTAGAATCTTGGAAAAGGTAGAAATCAGAGCCAGGCATCTGAAGAATCCAAATACGATGAAAATTAATAGATTCAGGTGAAGTGACACTAAATACATAAGATTAAATGATCTGTTTCTTTGTTCATGATAGTTATTGTATTTTGTGTGTAAATAAGACAGAATTTGGAATTAAATGGAACACCTCATATGGATTAAAAGCATTTTCCTTCCTCTTTAAAGAGGGTCTTACTGCATGGCTACAGGAAATATCTTTCCTAACCTTTGATAGGTAAACATTTTACTTTAAAAACTTGACACTGTGAGAATGTTTCAGCAGCTTACCACATAAAGTTCATCAAGGGTGTTTCTCATATACCAAGTTGATTAAAATATAGTACTAATCTGTAGTTTACAATCTTCTAACTCCAAGATATATAAAGTTTTGATATCTACAAAGTATTTTTTGTACTGGGAATTGAACTCAAGGCCTCACAGTTGCCAGGCAGGTGCTGTGCCACTGAGCTGCATCCCAGGCCCTACAAAGCATTTTTAAGTTCCACTATAGTCTGCTTAATCTCACAACCACTTTGTGAGGCAGGTGATGATGTCTCTAAGTCCATATATGGTGGGAGGATTAGGACACACAGCTTTATCCAAGGTGGTGCTGAAACTGAGTTGCAAGACCAAAATTTGGATCCCAATCTTGAGATTTTACAGGCCTGAGCAGCTTATATTGGCACACAGTTTTTTTACACATACACAGAGATGTGGTAGCAAGTAATAACTGGGCACTGACTGTGTTCTAGGTACGAATGAAGCATTAATTTATTTGTTCCTATGAAACAACCACCCTATGACATAGACACTTTTATCCCATTTCCCAGGCACAGTGATTGACTCAGTAAGTGACAGTATTATAGAAATGGATAAGTTCCTGATTTCAAGAAGCTTGCAGTCATAATGTAGTGTGATATGTGGGATATAGAAGAAAATCAGTATTGTCACTGTGGACAAGCTAGTGATTGTCAGACCTCCTTAGTAAGAGAATCTGGAGGAAGTACCATTTATCTGAGTAAAATCTGCTATCTGAAGACTCACTCAAATATATATTTCATGAATAAGTGAGTTTTCTAAAACAACTTCCATAGGAAGCACTCATTTTTTCATTGAATATTTGTTAATGCTTCAGCTAGACACTGCTAGGTTTTTGGGATCTCATAGTAAGAAAGACAAATGTCTTTATGGGAGCCGAGTATATACTTCTTTTGCCTTATTTTAAAGTGGATATAGGATAGGCTTTGGTGTATTTTGTGAAAGAATGAAAGTGATTGTTGAGTTGTTTACCAGTAATGATTGTCATGAATTCTTTGCAAAGATTGTTGAAGTAAAATAATCATGAGGAAGAGAAAATATAACAAAGGCAGAAATGGTAAGTAAACCTTTCCATAGAGAAAAATATCTCAAGAATGATCAAATTTATTAAGTTGTCATTGTCTAAATGTTTATTGAGCATGAAAACACGTACAAGAAAATCCCAGTATGTAATTCATACTTATATGTTCATCAGTCAGTTTATCTTTCTTTCAATAGTGGATGGTGAACTGTACACATTTGGAGAAGCTGAGAGTGGGAAATTAGGTCTTCCTAAAGAGCTGCTGATCAATCACAGAACCCCTCAGCTGGTAGCGGGAATTCCTGAGAAAGTGTTGCAAGTGGCTTGTGGTGGAGATCACACTGCAGTTCTCACAGGTATGTGTGAAGCCTGCTGCTCTGTTCCTTGCTTTTTGTGGTGGTTAGTGACATTTTAAAAAAATGATTTTTTATTGTTGTGAGAAAAACATTTAAAATAAGACCTAATTTTGAAACATTTTAAGTGTGTAATGCGGTATTATTTATAGAAATGATGTTCTAAAGCAGATCTCTCAAACCTTTCTTGTGTAACTGATACTTTTGTGTATGTCATACAGCATCTTCTGCCACCACTAGCTCCTGGCAACCACTGCTTCATTCTTAGGGTCTGTGACTTTGAGTCTTTGAGATCCCTCGTGGAAGCTGGGCTTGCATGTCTTTCCATTAAGATACCCACCTTTTGTTCCTAATATATATATATATATATATATATATATATATTCTTCCTACGGAAGAATTTTTAAGTGCAAACAATGAATCTTCTTGAAATGAATCTTGAGTTATGGTTCTTGTAACATAATGGAATTTTCATAAGTTTAACACTTTCAGCAGCAGTAGGTGATATTGTTTTTAGCTCATTTTCAATGTTAAACTTTTTTCATGTACATATGTATTCCATATTTATTGGAAATTGACATTATTTTCTGAAATGCCTTCTTTTGGAGAAGCTTCTTATTCATGCTGTTTTCTACATGCCATTTATAATTCTTTGTGAGATTCACAGTGTATATCTTGGAGATTTCTTGGTGATTTTACCTTTTGCTAATAGTAATGCATTAAAAAGTGGTAAGGTTTTAAATTACATATGCTAAGAAATTTAGAATATTGATAGTAGTGTCATTTTTGACTTCTGAATTTCACATTTGGCCTGACAAGTCACCTGCTAGAATTCAAGGCAATATGTTCAAGTATACTCACTGCTTGATAATATTTTTATTAAATTGATGTTCCCAAATTTGTTTAGCTTTCACTTTATTTTAGATTACTAGTATAGTGCTGATGCAATTATATAGTAAATTATTTTATTTTTTGATCAAAAAGAAAATATAACAGTTTCTCGTCGCTACTTAATCTTCAGTAACCCAAAGTTCGAAGTGTTTTAGGCAAGTTTTGTGTATTCAATTCTCTAATCAGTGTTGTAAGATGAATGAATATTTTACCTTTAGATTTTCCTTTCTTGCATTGCTTTTTCTCTACTTCTTTCTCTAATCCCTGTTATGTTTATTAAGCTTTGTTTTCCCTGAATTACAACTTCTAGGTGGATATTTTTCTAAGTTAGGGATTATTTTTTCAAAGCCTGTACTTTAAATTTAGAAGAAGAAAATAAATGTAAGGTTTAGATTTATTTTGAATTCATGCTGATAGAATGAAGTTTCAGATCATTTATATTTTGTTGTGGTACCAGAAATCAAACTCAGGATCTTGTGCTTGCCAGGCAGGTGCTTGTACTGCTGAGCCATATCCCAGCCCTCTCAGATAATTTATAAAGATTTAGTCTAGAATAAATATTTTTGAGATTTTATGAAAATTTGTTGTATTGGCAGAAATACTACTTATTTATGCATTAAGTGTTTTATCTAGTTTGTATAAGGATTGTAGAGTTAGCTTACTAGGTGATTCAATATTATTCTGACACAGTTGTTGGTTATTTAATAATACAAAATCAAACATTTTAAAATATTTTTATATAAGTTAACAAGGACATAATCCATGAAATCTTTCATTTTACTTAAAATTTAAAATGTATTTAAAGTGTGATTTTGTTTGCAATATTAAGTACATTTAGATTTCACACTTTTTTGAGGTTAAAAATCATGTTTCTTGAAATTGCTTTTCTCTAAATTTTTGCAGATTTGGGGATCTCACATCAGTAAAGTTTGGTTTTTGCTTGTTTGCTTGCTCCCCCGTCTTTCTTTTCCTGTTTCTCTCTATCTCTCTGTCTCTCTCTGTGTCTCTCTCTGTCTCTTTCTTCCTCCCTTTCTCCCTTTCTCCCTCTCCATCTCCCTCTCTCCCTCTCTCCCTCTTTCCTTCTCTCCCTCTCTCCCTCTCTCCCTCTCTCCCTGTCCCTCTCCCTGTCCATCTCCCTGTCCCTCTCCCTGTCCCTCTCTCTCTCTCTCTGTCTCTCTCTCTCTCTTTCTGTCTCTCTCTGTAATTATGAGGTGCAGCTTTTGACAGACCTGGAGCAGTTGCTGTCTACTGCTAAGGTTTCCACTCTAGAATATAAAAAAAGAGCCTTGGATTTCCTGTCTGCCCAGTTGTAGCGGCAAACATTGAATGAGAGAATATAGGAGAAAAGCTTGTAATCCAGAAAAAACAATTGAAAATTTGTGTAATTCATAAATAACCTTGTAAACATTGAAGAATATTTTTTTACTTGAAGAATCTAATTTTTGAATTTAAAACATGAGAAAAAAGTGGCTACCAACTTCTGACTAGCTTTTGCCTAAATACAGGCATTGAAAAAAATGACTATTTCCATTATCATGTAAAATAAGGGACATTTTGAAAACACAAATAAAAAGCTCTTAATTATATAATAAAAGATACCTGATTAAATTGTATGAATTTATCTGCATGAAAAATTTCACTGCTGTGTGGTCTTTCACATTAATCCATGGACCTGTGAAAGATTTATTCTGAGCCACCCTTGTTGAGGAACCTGTGTTGCAGAACATAGTATAGATAGAAATATTAAATATTTAATAGTATGTAATAAATGGACATAAAGAGTGTATTGATCATCACTTTGGCTAAGTACTAAATTGGATAATAAGACAGTTATGGAATATTTCCTGAGACATTTAAGAAAAAATAGCTAATTATCTTTTTTAGATTATTCCTTTTTCTAAAGGATAAGATTTAGATTAGATGATTCTGTGGATCACTCCTCCAGGTTTGCTTATTCATACGTCTAAAACTCTGATCTTAAAATCTATTTGGGTAACATTCATTTTATATTATTTTAAAGATAATTTAAATTAGTTCATTGCTGATAAATTTATTTAAAACATACAATTGGCATGTGACCAAGATTCATTAAAAAATAACAACTACTGATTGTAGGGACTGTGTGATTATAGTTTTTCCTTAGAAGCAGGGAACAATCATTTGTTGTGGGACAAAGACCATATGGGTACATGGGACATACTATGTGAGGCAGAGTGGCAGATGTAACCTTGGATGTGCTCTTGTCCACAGCAGTTACCAAAGATGTGGAAGGCTGTTTATAAGATGGGGTGTACAATGATATCTGAGTCCCAAAGCAAATGATAATGTATCTTAATTTGTGCAGATTATGTTTAAACAAACTTGAGTTTACTACAGGGTAATACATTAGTTAGTCCTAAAAATCAAATATATTCCATGAAATTACAGTAATATTCATCCAAAGCCAACTAAACAGATCTTTTCCTAATGTAGCATTTTATATTACATTAAATTACATTGCTAAATGTCACAGATATAGCTAAAAATTGTACTATTTCATATATATAATGTCCTTAGGTAAAAGTTTCAGGTTATTTTAAAAAATAAAATGCTGTGACTAATCATCCAAGACGTGAATCTAACAAAACTATCATATTACAAAACTTTTGCAATATGATCCAGGCTGCCTAAATAAATTCATTTCAGTCCAAGAAATATGTTGGTCACCTACAGGTAGGTAATTTAACTTACTCAACATTCTACTATTAAAACTGAACATTTAGAACTAGAAATATGTGATGTAATTATTAAGATATGGTATTTTGATATTAAATTACCATGTGATAATTACATTATTATATGTAATACAAAATACCATACAATATGGTATTTTGATATTTTGTTGTTATCTCACCATGGCTTCATATTCTTCGTATAGCATATTTTCCTTAAGAAGTAACATCTTTATAAAGCAAGCATTCTTATTAGATATGATAGACAATAGACAGGTATGTACTGCCATTGTCAGGATTACATGAATTGATTATGTAACTACTTTTCAGAGGAAATGTTTTTTACAACTGTTTTCAAATCTGCCTGAATGTTTTCTCTTGTATTCTCATTAGATAGGGATCGCAACATCAGAGAGTCTAAGTAAGTTGTCTACTTGCTACAGCTAGTAATAATGTAGTTTTAGGTTCTAGGCTTAACGTGAAAGCCTTGCTCTTTCTTCTGTAGTAGGAGAAAATACATGCACTGAATTAAGGAGAAAGTCAACATTGCTCTCTAACACATTAACCAGGGAAATTATATATAAAAGAACTCTTTTGTCACCACTCATATATCCTGTTTTTGTGCTTTTCCATTATAGAAAATATATGAGCTAATATTTATTGGGGGTTTTTTGGAATTATCTCAAAAATATTAATGTAGGGGAATGCTTTTCCCTTCCTTTCTTTAGTATTGCATTTCCTAGTAAATGAATTTTACTTGTGAATCAATGAAGTATATCTATCATAACAGTTAATTTCATGCACATTTTTTTCTGAAGTTGTATTTTATAAAGTAGATCAAGCTACTTTTAAAAGTAAGAATTTTTTTTGTAGAAGACACTGTTCACTTTTTTATTTATGACAATGAAAGGAATTAGCTAATGAAACTTGATGCTTTTTGAGCTCATGTCACAAAGGACACTTTAATTATAAGGACACTTCAGGGAGTTTCCTGATATAATATCTTGTATCATATTTGTTGTTTATATGTAGCAATTCTTTCCTTGGTTACATATGAAAGCTATGATCTGACCCCGGTATAATTTTTATAGTTATGTGCCGTTTCATTTTTCTTACATCATTGAAAAATTTGTACTTTACTATTATAACTCTTATATGGGTGTTTATTTTAGATGCAGTTATCTTTCATCATAAAAGCGATCACAACTTTTTTAGATATGGTAGTGGCAGTGTCTGCTTCCATCCAATCCTTTTCTTGTATTTGTCCCTTTCAGAGAAAGCTGTGTATACCTTTGGGCTTGGGCAATTTGGTCAGCTAGGCCTTGGCACTTTTATTTTTGAAACATCAGAACCCAAAGTCATTGAACAAATTAAGCATCAGAAAATAACTTATATTTCCTGTGGAGAAAATCACACAGCATTGATAACAGGTATGGATGAGATTTTTTTATATTGATAGTGCTGGGTATATTGCATTACAAAATAATATATTAAATGGATGTATCTAAATAAAGGAATTATTTATTATTTATTATTATTATGTATCTAAATAAAGGAATGTATCTAAATAAAGGAATTATTTACTGAGAAAAATGCAATTGTTTGGTTAGTATTCCAAAGTATAAAGCTATAAAATCAATTTCAAATCAATTTAAAATAAGTGTGGGGGCTGGAGATAAATCGCTCAGTGGCAAAATGTGTACTTAGTATATAGGTGAAGCCTTGGGTTCAATCCCCCACACCAAACAAAGGTAAGCCATCCAAAGATTTAGAACCTCAAAATAGGACACTGATGTCAGAAGAAAAAAGATTATATTTCAGTAGAAAGCTAGAATCCTCTTGACATTGTTATCAGTATGAAGGTTTTTAACTTCACTCAAACCAGAGGGAAAAATCACAAGAAAGAATTTATGTTACAGTATTCTTTCTGTTTTAATCTGAAAGAGCTACATTCAGGCTGAATAAATTACGATGCTTTTGCCACCAGGAGATGTTATAAGCATTGACGTTTTCCTTCTCTTTCCATAGTAAGAGACACCTCAAAGGCCACTAAGTGAATATACCACCCACTCTGTGACTTCTTTATCCAGGGAAATGTTCCTTTGGGCTTTCTTCTCAGCTTCAAAAACTAGATGCTGCTAATATTGTAGGACTCAAGAAAATTCTTTCTTAAAATGTTTCAGTAACTTGCCTGTAGATGATTGATATACTGCACAGATATAAATGCTTTTTAAATAAAAGGGCCTCTAATTTCCCTATTTTTATCTAAAACATCAAAAAGTCAGATATCATCTAGTACATTGAAATAATCCAAACTCTTGCATTTCTACTTTTTCATTCTGTCTAAAAAAAGCTCCTCCTAAAAGGGAGCTCATATAATGTTATCTAGTTAGAGAAAGTGGGAATCAGCAAGCACAAGCGAGGTACACAGTTCCTTTTTTCCCTCAGAACAACAGAACCCTTCAGAAGGGACAGCCTCCTCTCTGTCAAGTATTAGTGTTCTTGTTATGTAGAATGAAGTAGCACTATGTAGAATATGAAGAAGTATTACTCGTTCACTTGTCTCCTGAGAGGTGTTGGTATGTACCCTTCACTGTGGAATCCTAGCCTCGATTTCTTTGTCTTACTGCCTTTTCTCATCTGCTTTAAATTGCCATTGATAATAAATACGGTAGTATGTAGTTTTTGTGTATTATCTGGCATTCAAATAGATTACTTAAATTTTCATAGTACCTTTCCTCCTAATGAACAGCCCAAATCACTGAACATTAACTATGGCTTTTTATATCATGTGCCCTCCTAGGGGGTACCTCTTCAGGATGTTTTTTCATTTAAGTCTGATGAGCGATATGTAGTAAGTTATCTGTAAGATCCTGGCAGTTTTTGTTATAGCCAGTGGTTCATGTTTGAAAAAGCTCTCTGGGATCGGAAATGCAATCAGGCATCTTGGATCAGAGTTCATTTTTCAGACAAACATAAACCAAATTAGAAAAGCAGACCTTAGAAAGTATTTTTGAATGAATAAATCCAAGGGAGAAAAGTGATAAAGAGTATATACAAAGGGAGGAAGTAAATATCTAACAGTGAAAATTGTAAGACACTAAAGAGTCTAAATATTGGTTACCACTTTGGTTTTTTTTTTAATTTGGTACCGGGAACCGAGCTTAGGACCTTGCACTTGAAAGGCAGATGCTTGTGCCGCTGAGGTATATCCCCTGCTCTATCACTGTTTTTGTAAATTAAGTTATAACTTCTCACTGTACCAAATTATTTTTTTAATTAATTGTTGTGGATTTTCTGAGTATGCAGTCACTTTGCTTTCTCGAGGCAGAAATCCTTCAATGTGATCTAATCATTTCTCAATTTAAAAACCATTCATCTGGTTTCTTACTGCTATAAATATGGAGTTCAGAAATCCATAATTAAAATAATGTACCCTTCTGTTGTTTGCTTCTGTCTTAGGTGTTCAACTCACCTCATAGTACTCTCCCTTTAATGCTCTAGGCTCATTAATTGACTTTGAGCTTCTTGCCTTAGCCATGTTTTCTGTTGACTCAGAGACCTTCTGTGTATGTACTGCTGACTCTTATAACTAAACCCTATTCATCTTTTAGGTTTCAGTTTGAAAACCTACCCTGATCCCCAGACTAGAGGGAAATCCCTCTCCTCTATGCCCATATTGGCATCCATTGTTTCTGTGTCCATGGCTCTTAACCTAACTTGAGAAGCTGGGAGGGGCTTATAAAAGGAGTGAGGAGTCAGAATAGCTGCTATGGTAGTGGGCAAAAGGGCTAACTGGAAAGAAGTGACAAGATTATTCATCATCGTCATCAGTTTGGCATGGTTGGTTGGCTTATGGCACTTCCTTAGGCAGTATTCTGTAGCCCAGGAGCTAAATTAGTGAAAGAGACTAATTGGTCTAACTCAGTGGTTTTCTTTTTTCTTTTTTTCTTTTTTTTTGGTCTTTTTCTGGTACCAGGAATCAAACTCATGACCTCGCGCTTGCCAGGCAGGTGCTGTGCTGCTGAGCTAAATCCCCAGCCCAACTCAGTAGTTTTCTATAAGTGATACTTTTGTTCCCCTAGGAGATGCCTGTGAAGTCTGGAGATGTTTTTTGATCATCACAGCTGCAGGGAAGGGGGTATTGTTCTACTGGCGTGTAGTGAATGCCAGTAGGGAAGGAAGTTGGTAAATATCTACTGGCATGTAGTGAATGCCATGCCAAGGATAGTGGTAAATATTCTACAGGGAATAAAATAGACCCAACACAAGCAAGAATTATGCAGTCCCAAATATCAGTAGTGCTAGTTGCTTTTCTCACTGCTGAGACAAAATACCTGACACACAAAGTTAAAGGAGGAAAGTTTTATTTCAGCTCAGAGTTTGTAGAGGTTTCAGTTCTTAGTCAGCTGGTTAAAAGGCAGGGTGGCTGGGCAGAAGGGCATCACAGTGGAGAAACCATTCATGATATGGCAAATAGGAGGCAGTGAGTAGCAAGCCTGCCTTCTTTCTGTCCCTTTATATTCTATCCAGACTACAAGCCTATTGATTTGTGCCACCCATACCTAGAGCAGGGCTTCCGTTATTCACACCCTTAATCCATGTTTACACACCCTAATCCAGCTACCATTGAAACTTCTCACCTATGATCACATGAGGCTTGGGGGGTACATCTAGATACAAATGTAAGAAGGCTAACTTGGAGAAACTCTGATCCATCAATCACTTGAGAAAAGAAGAAAATAGATTGTATTGTGATGGGTGGTCAGAATATGAGGATCTGTGTCCCTTTGATAATATGTATATCATAAGATCCTGTGTTGTATTGCTACTGCCAGGTTTTAGAAAATTATTCTCAGAATATGTATTGCCTACTGTTATATGTAAGACCATAGAGACGATAGTGTTAATCAATGGATCAGAGTGAATTCTATATACAATTTAATGGGAAAATTAATAATAGCAGTGTAAATTAATTTATTTTTGATTTGCAAATACAGGGATACAAGTAATACTTTTATAATTCTCTCCTTTTTTTGCATTTTAGATATAGGCCTTATGTATACTTTTGGAGATGGCCGGCATGGAAAGTTAGGACTTGGACTAGAGAATTTTGCAAATCAATTCTTTCCCATTGTGTGTTCTGAATTCTTGAGATTTACAGTTCAATTGGTAAGGGTATCACATTTTCATTTTTATATTTCCATATTTCTATTTTAAGTCAGCATATTATAGGAAATAAGTTTATATGTTTGTCTGAAAGAGTATCATGGGTATGTATCATCAATTTAACTAATTATCTAAGAGCCACATGTCAGACATTATGTTGCAATAAAAGTCTGTTTCTTTCTTAACTTTACTCTTTTAATATATTCCTTTTTTGCCACATCTTAACTCGTCTGCATTCTCATGTTTTTTGAAAGCCAGACTTTGCCATGCTTATAAACTTTAAAAAAAATTAATTGCCTAGATAATGAACTCAATGAGAATCAAATTAAGAAAACAATACCTTTTACAATAGCAACAAGCAAAATTAAATACTTAGGAATTAACCTAACCAAGGAAGTGAAATGAAAATTATGGTATTCTAAAAAAGAAGATTGAAGAAGACATCAGAAAATGGAACAGTATCCCCTGTTCCTGGATGGGCAGAACCAATGTAGTCAAAATGGCCATTTCCAAAACTGATAAATACATTTAATGTGATCCTCATCAAAATACCAACAGCATCCCTCACAGATCTAGAGTAAGCAATCATAAAATTTTTATAGAACTAAAAGAGACCCAGAGTAGCAAAAGTGATTCTGGGCAACAACTGCAAAGCAGGAGGCACCGCAATCCCAGACTTGAAGTTATATTACAAAGCTACAGTGATAAAACACAGTATGGTATTGGCACAAAAACAGACATGTGGATCAGTGGAATAGAACAGAAGATGCAGAAACATGAAGTGGTCTGATGTTTGACAAAGGGGCTAAAACATACACTGGAGAAAAGATAACCTCTTTAAAAAATGGTGCTGAGAAAATTGGCTTGCCACATGCAGAAATTGAGTCTAGAACAAATATCTCACCATGTACTAAACTAAAATCAAAATGAATCGAAGATATAAAAGCTAAAACAAACACTTTATCTGATGGCAAATAAAGTAGGTAAAAATCTTGAAGGCATAATCATAGGCAAGGACTTTCTAAACAGAACCACAATTGCACAAGAAATAACTTTAAGAGTCAGCAAATGGGATCACATCAAATTGAAAAGCTTCTACATAGCAAAGGAAACAACCAACAAAGTGAAGAGACAATTACAGAATAGGAAAAAAATTTTACCAGCTATTCCTGGGACAGAGGAATAATATCTAGAATATATAAAGAACTCAAAATTAGACCTCCCAAAATAAAAGACCCAGTCAAAAAATAGGTAATTGAAGTGAATAGATACTTCTCAGAAGAAGTGTAAATGGCCATTAAATACATGAAAATATGTTAAATATCTCTGGCCATTAGACAGGTGCAAATGAAAACAGCACTGAGTTTCCATCTTATTCCAGAAAGAACGGTAATCATCAAGAAATCAAATAATAACAAATGTTTGCAAAGCTGTGGGATTAAGGAGTTTTTCTGCTTTGTTGGTAGTACTATAAATTAGTATGACCAATGTGGAAATCAGAATGGGTGTTGCTCAAAACCTAAAAAGAGAAGCCAGGCATGGTGGTACATGCCTGTGATCCTAGTATTTGTGAGGCTGAGGCAGGAGGATTCCCATGAGTTTTAGGCCAGCCTGAACCACAAAGCCAGACCTAGTCTCAAAAAACAAAAAATACCAAAATACCCTAAAAATAGAAATTCCATTTGACTTAGCTATTCTCCTATTCTCCTTTTAGGTATCTTTTTAAAAGAGTTAAAGACATCATATTACAGTGGTACCTAAGCAACCATGTTTATGGCCACACAGCTCATAAAAGCTAAAGCTAAATCTATATGTCCATCAAGAGATGAATGAATAAAGAAAATGTAGTATTTATACACAATGGATTACTACTCTGCCATAAAGAAGGATATGTTTGTGTCACTTGTAGGAAAATGGATGTACATTGAGATCATAATATTAAAGGAAATCAATCAGACATGTAAGCTTAAATATAGTATCAATGGTTTCTTTTATATGAGAAGCTTAACACTTAAATAAAGAGCCAAATAAAAGATAGGTAATAGGAAATAGGGACATATACCTTTTGCAAAAGGGAAGGGAACCAAGAGATAGAAGACAGGGAGAGGCAAGGAAAAGGAAAAGCAAAAAGAATTTAGATATGTTATGTACATGTACTGTACCAACTTCCTATGAGGACTGTAATCATTCTGTACTGCATACATGTAGTGATAAAAACAAAAATGAAAAGAAAATGTTTTATTGGCTAAATATTATTCAGATAAGAATGTATCATTTCAGTGTCACATCACCATCAGCACCATCTCTCTTTTGTTTCTAATAGTTTTGCCAGTTAAGAACTGTAGACTTTTCACATCTATTGTAGTACAGGGAGCTCCATAGAGACAGAGTCACATCACTAGATGACTCTGTTCCTTTTTGAGGAAAAACAAGTAAACATAGGCATAGAAAATCCTAAGACATTCAGAGGCAAAATTTTATCATATGCATTCTTTGTGCAAACTTGCCAAGGAAAGCATAACAAGCATCCAGATGCTTCTATCAAGTTGTCAGTTCCTAAGAAGTGCTCTGCGAGGTGGAAGACTATGCCCAATAATAAAAAAGGAAAATTTGAAGACATGGCAAAAACAGACAAGGACCATTTTGAAAGAGAAATGAAAAGCTATCCCTCCTATAGGGAAAGCAAAAAGGCCAAGAACCATATTACTCCTAGGAAGCAACCTATTACCTTGTTCTTCTCTGAGTATCAACCAAAAAATCAAATGAGAGCATCCCAGCCTGTCCTTTAGTATTATTGCAGAGATGTGGAATATCAGTGCTGCAGATGACAAGAAGAACTGTGAAAAGAAAGCTGCTCAGCTGAAGGAAACATATGAAAAGGATATTGCTGATTACTGAGCTAAAGGAAAACCTGATGAAGCAAAAAAGGGAGTCATCAGGGCTGAATAAGCAAGAAAAAAGGACAAGGAGGAAGATGAGGGGGATGAGGAGGAAATGAAGATGGAAAGATGACAATGATGAATCTGTTGCTTCTAGCACATTTTTTTGGTCTGTAAAGCATTTCACCCTCCCCATGCAATTCCCTCCTTTTAAGGAAAAAAATTAAAATGTAAAACTTCGTTTTTAAACTATACAGTGTTTTGTATAGTTAACACACTCCCAAATATGTGTTTAGGTAGCCCTGTCCTTGTGATACTTGGAATAGCCGCTAACCTTGCCTGACAAAGTATGGAGGTTGTAAAATGGCATGGAAATTTAAAATAAGGTTTTGTTCATACATAGCCCACATTAGTTATATATGGGTATGATAGTTTTTTCATTTTGAATCATTTCTGATGCAGCTTATGCAAAATATTTCTTATTCTGTCAATTAATACCACTCTGTAACTGCAAAAGAAAAAGTTGGAGCTGTTTTGTTGATATCTTGATTATATCTAAGTAAATATAATTTTTTATTAGAAAAAAATACTATAGACTTGTGAAAATTCTGTTTACTTGGTCATGATAGTATTTCTTCTTCAAAGACACATTGTCTCATACTGTGGAACACTTTCATTGGTTTATTTGACAACCACTTAAGGAAAGCAGTCTATGTGCAAGAAAGCAGACAAAGCATTTAGGCGTACAAAGTGTTCGGCAGTGAACAAAATGACCAATCAAGTCCTCATTATTGAGCTTATACCTTTTTAAAACAATTTTTTTGAGGCAGGGTCACACTATGTAGTCTAGGTTTGCCTTGAACTTGCTGATTAGCCCAGATTGGCCTTGAACTCATGTTCTTTCTGCCTCAGTCTCCTGAATGCTGGGATTGCAGGCATGTGCTACCATGCACCACTCTTCATTGGACTTATAGTATGATGGGGAAAATAATTTTATAAAGTTATGAAAAACTAGGGAAATTTTAAATTTGAAAATACTATAAAGGAGAGGTGAAGAATATGCTGTTTTTATACCACCAGGTAGAACACTAAAAAGTGGCTAGAATTTGTATATTAAAAATACTATTTCAGTACTTTCTTTAAGTTCATTTATTTTTCAAAATTCTTTAAATATTTATTTCATTTTTCATTATTCCATCATCATGGATATGTACATTTTCCTCTAAGGAATTCTAAGCATTAAACTTAGAAAATGTTCATGTAACAGAAAAGGCTTTGGGGGGTATAGCTCAGTGGCACAGTGCCTGCCTGGCAAGTGCAAGGTCCTGAGTTCGATTCCCTGTACCACAAAAACAAAAACCAAACAAATAGAAGGCTTTGATTATCCCAAGAGACTGATTTATCCTTGGGTCATTTTTCCCAGTAGAACGTCTCAGAAGTGTTTTTTCAAGTTTTTAGTGTTGCACCTATATAAAATATAACATTTTCTAACTTGTAAGGAGACATGAACATAAGTAATTTTTTTATATTAAGTTGAAAGCAAATGGTGGATTAGATGTACTCTAATTTTTAATCAGTGTTTTTTGGGGGGGGCGGTACTGGGAATTGAACTCAGGACCTTGCACTTGCCAGGCAGGCGCTTATCCCACTGAGCTATATCCCTGGCCCTTAATTCAGTGTTAAGAGGTTATATATTTTAATTCATGTGTGTGGAGAGAGAAAGATAGGGGTAGAGAGAGAGAGAAGAAGAGGAGCAGGAGGGTGAGGGAGGAAGAGAAAAAGAAGTGAGAAGAGATAATTTATGAGTCAGTGTAAGAAGTCTGCCAGTAAGTAAATGAGGTGTAGCTGATCTGATAGCTGTTAAAAAAACCCCACTTGTGTTTGACGTCTATGTCAATTAAATTTTCTTTGGATTTATGCTTGCAGGTTGCTTGTGGTGGATGCCAAACGCTAGTTTTTGCTTCTCCACGCATTAATGTGGTGGGAGGAAGTGACTTCAATCAAACAAATGATTTTTGCCTACCTGCAGCTACTTTGCTGCCCTCTGAAAACCTGACCTCAGGAAATGTACTGCCTAGAACTTTATCAGCGCGTCTGCGACGAAGAGAGCGGGTAGGGTTGTGGCCTATGTAATAGTGTGATCTAGCATTGTGAAGAAAATGTGAAGGAAAACCAGTTTCTTTGAAATCAAAGAAATGTATTTTTAGCTATAATTGCTAATAAAGTAACTATACTTGAAGGCTTTTAATCTTTTAGAGAGAATTTAGAGTTAAGTCACTAAAGACACAAAGTACAAAGTTCATATTATTATGATAACCTTGACTTACAGACAGTGATACTATACAAGGCATCCTTTTATAGGCCCTTTTATCGTCTTAGGATGACTGCTGTTTTTTCATCTGTATATGGATTGACTTCAAGTCTAACTTTTTACATACTTTCTCTGTTACTGTAGTAGGACACCTAACATGAGATCTACCCATGGAGCAGATTTTTAGTTGTACCGTATAGTATTGTTAATATAAGCATGACATTATGTTGTAGACTAGGTCTCTAGGACATAATCATCTTGCCTAGTGGTGTATTCTTTTATCTTTTAATTAGGCCTCACGAGCAGTGGAAGGTTATATACCATAATCAGTGAAACAAGAGTAACAAATAAGGACTTCAGTTTGAGAGAGGGACTATTCTCAATTAAATTTAGAGTCTCTGAATTACAATTTCACTGACATCTTTTTAAAAAAAGAAAATACCAAATAATATTTAAAGGAGACATACCATTTTTGAAAATTACTTGGAGTTCTAAAACTCATCCCTTTTGAAGTGAGAAAGTTAACTAGCTTTTTACTATGAAAAGGTACATATGGAAAGGTTGAGGAATATCCTATCAGTGTTTTGTAAGTGCTATTTACATCTCATAAGCAGTATTTTGTTTTGCAGGGAAAATGCACACATTTATTCTCCAATATGTGAAAGATAGTTTAGAGTAACTAAGATACAGAGACAACAGAACAAAATGTATTTGAGTTCTTAGGGATTGTTAAGAAATAAATGAGCTGGGCGTGGTTGTGCATGCCGTAACCCTAGCACTCTGGGAGGCTGAAGCAGGAGGATCACAAGTTCAAATCCAACCTGGGAAGTTTATTGACTCAAGACCCTGTGTCAAAAACGAGTGGGGGATGTAGCTCAGTGTAAAGGCCACGAAAACCGAAAGAAAAGTATTTTTAAAATCGGCAGACTTTGAAGTCTTTCTCATAAATATTTTTAGCAACTGCAGGGAAATTTATGCCAGTATTATATATAATGTCATCTGACAGTTTATTTAACCTATTTGTTTTAAAGGACAGATCCCCAGATCCTATGCAGATGATACGAACACTACCTCCATTAGAGGAGACTGCCACAGCACCTTCTTCTTTTTCCATCGCTTTAGTCTCTTGCAGTCTGTCTGTGAGTAAGCTCTCAAAGAAAAGCAGCTTTGACTCCATGGAGCCACTTGAGCCAGGTAATATTTGCTACCCTGCCTTTCAGGAGAAATATGTGTTTTATTCCTGTTGCTTTCATGTATATCTTAAAATTCTTTTCCAGTTCATTAAATTGTCCTTCCCCTAATTAGAGCTTCAAATCTCCCATTTCAATTCATGTCTAGGAATACCCCTATAAAAAAGAAAGCACTGTCGGTGGCCCTAAGGGTGACATGTAACCACAACAGTACGTCTGTATAGCATTGGTTGATATTAATGAGATCTTCCTTTATACTGTCTTTTTTAAGCCCTGAAGCAACTGCTTGAAATCAGTGGGAGTTATAGTCTTCATTTTACAAATGAGAAAAGCAAGGCTTGAGGAGATTGAGTATTTGAACACAGGTTTCCTAGACCTATGTAAAATTCCATACTTAGATATTAATGTATAGTGGTTTAGAACATGGGCTATGGAGTTCAGTTGATCTGGGCTTACATCCGGCTCTGACTTTTACTATGTGGCTAACTTAATCTAGGCCTCATTTCCCTTATCTTTGAAATGAGTTTAATAATGCCTGCTTCAGAAAGTGATTGTGAGGATTCAGTGAGATCAGGCGTGTAAAATACTTAGCATTGGGCACAGGGCCTCTAAAAACCTCTTAATAACTATGATTATTAATACCTCTACCTCATTGCTAGATATAGATTTCTTGATTTAAATTATAATCCCAACTGTTCCTGCTATACACTTGTTCTACGTAATGTTGTTTACAAACATTGGTGGGTCTTAGCAGTGTCTCTATTTTACTGAAGGTTATTTGCTTGGATGGTAGGGCAGGACAGAAAGGCAGGGCCATAAGATCAGAAGAAACAGGTTTGGAATTAAGATACAACCTGAGCATCAGGGATTAAGACCCATGGCACAGATCATTTTTAGTACCTCTGAGATCAGGAAACTATGCCAAAAAATGCAAAATGTTGAAAAGTAAAGCACGGGACCTCAGACAAGAGAAAGCCACAAGAACTGAACATTAAGTATAAGTAGAGTCTGGTAATGAACCACTTTCCAGCATCTGACCTACAGTTCTTGTACAGTTCCTTTATTTTTTAAATTAATTTTTTTGGTAAATTTTTGATATACATAATGATGACGTGCATCATAGGGAATTTGTACCTGTACATATTTCTTGATTATTTTTTTCCTAGTCTCTTACCCTTTCTTCAGTCCTTCTTCCCCTCCTTATTTACAGCAGCTTTGTTTCCATGTTTTTCTCCTGTTCTCTTTTTTCCCTTTTTCCCTTCCTTGCCCCCCTCCCCGTTCTCCTTCTGATTTGAACATTTTCTTCCTCCTTCCCAATGTCTATCATCCATTTTGGTCCTTATTTACACTTTTGGTTTCTCATGCAAGAGAAGCAATGTAGTATTTAAACATGTATCTGATTTATTTTGCTTAAAAGTATGGTCTCAGAGTGCATCCATTTACCTAAAAGTGTCTCAAGTTTATTCTTCTTTATGGCAGAGTAGTACTCCATCACATATAAGAAGCACATTTTTTTTTGTTTTTTTTCCAGTACCAGGAATCGAACTCATGACCTCACGCTTGCCAGGCAGGCACTGTGCCACTGAGCTAAATCCCCAGCCCCAAGAAACACATTTTCTTTATCCATTCATCCATTGATGGGAATCTGAGCTGTTCCCAAGATTTAGCTATTACAAATTATGCTGCTGTAAACATGGGTGTGCATATATCACTGTGGTATGATGCTTTTAACTCTTGGGAAGACACCAAGAAGGGGAATAGCTGGATCAAATGGAATCTCTAGTTTTAGTTTTTTGAGGAATCTTCATATTCATTTCCATATTGGTTGTGCCAACTTACACTTTCACCAACAGTGGAGAAAGATTCCTTTCTCCCCAGAGCCTTGCCAGCATTTGTTATTGATTGTTTTCTTGATGATAGCCACACCTTGTGGGGTGAGATGGAATCTCAGTGTTGTTTTAATATGCAATTCTTGAATGACCAGTGATGTTGAACATTTTTTTCATATGTTTACCATTTCTATCTCCTCATCTGAAAATTATTATTCATTTTGGATGCCCATTTTTGGATTAGGTGTTTAAATTTGGAGGATCTAGTTTTTCTAAATTCTTTACATATTCTAGATAATAGTTCTTTGAGGAATAACTGGTGAAAGTTGTTTCCCGTTCTGTGCGTTGTCTCTTCATGCTGTTGGTGATTTCTTTTAGTTAGTATCAGTCTTGTCAGTGAATGAGAGAGGGGGGAAATTAGAGAATAGTGTGATGAATGCAAAGTATTGCTCAAAGATTAAGAAAAAGAGCTCAAGGAAGTACCTTGTGCATTTGCTATTGTAGAGATTATCAGTGACCTCAACAAGAGCAGTTCCAGGGGGAAGACTCAGAAAGAAGCCAGAGGGTTAACAGTTGAGGCATGAATGGGCAATGAGAAAGTGAAAAGGAGACGGGTATCTAGATCATTATTTTGTCTCTTTGGCCATAAGGTAGCCCAGGCATCTGGGCTAGAAGCTGAAGGGAACTGTAGGGTCAGTGGTGAGAAATATTGGAGCATGTTTGTATGCCAGTGGAAATATCCAGGACAACTCGGTAGCCCAGGAGACAAGATGCAGAGCTCTCAGAAGACTAAAGAGGCTAGCATACAGAGTAATCTTCGGTAACAGGAAAGATGCCCTATATTTTAACAGGAAAATTAGAACTTGGATGCAAATGTAGATAATTGTGTATATTTCTTGGTAAGATCGGGTAGATCAGGTTTGGTAACATCTGTTTTCTCAGTCAACTCTGACACAAAGCCATCAGCTTAAATGAATTACACTGTGTTTTCTAAACCTATGTTCTCTGTCTTCTGTATTCTGTCCGTGTAACATTTTCCATGTTACTGTTCCTTAGATGCAGTTCAATTCCTATCTGCTCCACTGTCTTCAGAGAATAGCTGATATTTATGAAAAGAAGTGAGAATTTTCTCGTAACATTCTCACCTGCTTTTTTGGCTTAATCTCTCCATAACCTTTGCCCTGTAACCTTTATTTCAGTCAGGAATCTCTACACTGTGGCTGATCGGCCAAATCCAGCTATCCACATTGTTTTGTACGTGAACTTTTGTTGGAACCAAGCAGTAACATATACTGCCTATAGCTACTTCATGCTACATTATTAGAGATCGAGTCAAGACTGTGTGGCTCACAAAGCTTAAAATATTTACTTGTGGCCTTTTAAAGAAAAAAATATATGCTGACCCAATTTTGATCAAACTAAGCAATTTAGAATCTGACTTACTGAAAAGAATATAGGCTGCAGAGTCAGAAAGATCTGAGATTGACACTCCAGAAAGGTCAAAGAAGTTTATTTTCTTGAATTTGTAAAATGAAACAATACTGACTTTTCTTGTTAACCTAATGTGTATGAGGCTGTGTTACTGGCACATGGAAAGCCTTCAACATAAGCTGCTTCCCTGTGTGTCCTTTTTTTTCCTTGCTCCTTTGCTTTATTGTGAATGGGCTTCATTTTTTTCCTCTTCCACTTCCATTTTTACCTATCTGTTAGAATGCTACTCTTTGTGCCTCTGTAGTGAAAGCTTTCCTGATTCCAAACGTTTGCATTTGATTTCTCTTTCCCCTATATCATGTATTGTACATTCCCTTTTAGGCTCTAAGTTCAATAATATTTGGCAGTGACAGCACTGCTAATTTTTATTAACTATGCATATACATATATATATATAAACAGCTGTTGTACACTTTAAATATAAATAATAAAAACGAAATAATTAGCATTTGTTACTTCTCCATATTACCTACCACACACGGAATAAGCACTAAATGCTTAGTATGGTTTGTGTCTGGATGTACCCCCAAAGCCTCATTCTGTCATGGGGGCAGGCTTTTTGGAGGCAGCTGAGTCTAGAGTTTGTGATTGGTTCATTGTCTAGTGGGGGTGTGAGTGCTACACCTGCTCTAGGGCAGGTAGCCTGCATACAGTATAAGGGTCGGAAAAGAGGCTTGTTCCTCTCCTTTTTGCTCTTGTTGCTTTTGCTGTCTTCTGCCAACATGAACTGTTGCAACCTCTGCCACACCACCCTGTCTTGGAGCCTGATAATTTTGGACTGAAACCTCCACAAACTATGGCCTAAATAAACCTTTCCTTCCTTAACTTTGGGTGTCAGGTATTTTGTCTCAGCAGTGAGAGAAAAGTAACTAAGACAGTGACTACTTGTTCATTCATTTGTATCAATTTAAAAGAGAAAGATCATTGTAGCCTACCGTTTTTAGCAAAGACTTCATTAAGGAGCTCCCCTCCAATAAAAGGACAAGTGCTATAAAAGGATATAGTGAGAAATTGAGAAAAATATAATGTTGAATAGAACTTATGACTTTTAATTATGTGCTTTATGATGTAACTTGGAATTTTCTGTGACAGGTCCTAGAAAGCTTAGCTGAGTTGTTCTGGCTTTTATGGAGTTGCAGTTATACTGTCAGATAGGGCTGCAGTTATCTGTAACCTCGACTGGCACATGGCCATTGACAGTAGGCTTCATATCCTCACCACATAGGCTTCTCTCTTTACAGTTTCCCCCAGAGGAAAAGATGAGAAAGAGAGAGAGAGACAGACAGACGGAAAGAGAGAGAGAGAGAGAGAGAGAGAGAGAGAGAGAGAGAGAGAATATGCATGCATGTAACCAAGACTAAAGCTACAATGACATCACAGTGTGTTTGCATTCTTAAGTTCACCATACACATAGATATCAACCTGGTACAGTGTGCAAGGGGAGTTACTCAAGGTAACAGTATCTGGAGAGCTAACCCCCAGTGCTCAATATCTATGTAGTATTTATCCCAAAGGAATAGCGTTTACCTGTCCCTATTAATGAAGCAGTTGTTATATCATTGTTCTCTAAGTTTTGAAACTTTCAGAACGTTTTAAAAACATATTATTACTGTGAATGACTTCTGCTCAACTCCTACCATGAGCTTAAAGGACCTTTGGTAAAAATGACAGTCATGCTCTGTATTACAAAATAATTTCTATTTTTTGTATATTTCCTTTTTCCTTTCCTGTTGAAATCTGGATTTCCTTTTTCCCTTTTAATCATTCAGATGTTTGTCAAGATAAAGTGACAAAAGACAGAGAGATAGAAAATTCTTCATCGGCAGGTTCAGAAAGCCTGGGAGAAACTACTGATGTCTTAAATATGGTAATAACTTCCTATCTATCTAGATAGTAATTTGATTTTAATTTTAGTTCATCATGTTTGTGTGTTTGCTTTCTGTATTCTCTTAAGTAGCTGCTTTTTATTTCATTTCGTTAATTTTAACCAACTTTATTTAGGTATAATTTGTACAAAAGATTTGTTTCTGTCACATCATCAGGATGGCAATCGAGAGATATTACTATCTGAATAGTTTTGCATTCATTATATATATATTTATATATATATATATGTATAATGCTTGCATATATAATCATCCATATCGTCTGTTTATTTTGTAACATATACTTTTATTTATTTCAGACACATATGATGAGCCTGAGCTCCAGTGACAAGTCATTACAATTTTCGCCAATTCAAAAACAAAAGGTATAATATGGAGAGTTGTTTTTATTTTAATGACTAAGAACAGTTTATTTTTCTTAGAAAGATTTCTGCAGAGAACACGAGAAAAGTAAGCATTTACTTTAGAATTGAAAAAATAGAAGAGTACAATGTAGATGACCTCCATATGGCTTGTTCTGTTGGTATGTATTTTCTGTGATACAACAAAATTGATAGAATTCCATTGGTGGAATTTTTTTTTTTTCAAGCAATAGATTACAGTTGCAGTTCCTATTTATAGAAAGAGGCTACTGTTTATCGGAGTGGCTGTCTGACTTTGGTAGAGTATGACTTTGAGTGATACTAGGTTGACTTTCCTGGATGATATTAACATTTTTTTCTAGTTTAAAATGTTATTGTTTTAGTGAGTTTTTGGATTGGGTTTTATCAAGGAATGAATAGCATAGAAACATGATTAAAGTAAACTTGCAAATTAAAGATTGCTCAAGAGTGAGAGAGACCTTTACTTAATAACAAATAGCAAGAGGAAGGAATAGTCTAGTTTCCACAATCCTGGACAGATAAAGACCTGCCTTGAAATTGTTTTTTTTCTTGGCCTTACGGTCCAGTGGAGAGAAATGATGAGTTTGGGGATTAGGAAAACATAGCAGAAAAATGTAAATTGAGGGAGAAAGGCTATAAAAAACATTTAATTACATTGCTGGTGCATGTGCTATTATTACAAGTCCTAAAAACTGAAAGCAATAAAAGGAAGAGAATCTTGCTAAATTTCTTGTGACTCTCCTCTTTGCCTTTTCTGGGCTACTTTATTATACTAGGGAAAGGCACATACATTTAGAAATGAATTTTGAAAGTTGAACAGACTATCTCTTTGGAAAGAACTTTCAAGTTATAAGACTCTAAAGAACAGAACTAGAACATATAGAAAAGAAAAGCACTTCCATTTATATATATATATATATATATATATATAATCTTTATTAAGTTTATTAGTAGAATTTAGATATACATAGTGATTATATTCATCATAGGGAACTTGTACCTGTACATGATATGTCTTAGTTGTTCTTTTTTCCCCCATTTCCCTCCCCTTCCTTCAACCTCTCTTCCCCTCTTCATTTATAAAGCTTTATTTCCAATTTATCCTTTTTTTCCCTCATTTTAAAAATTTCCCTTCCTTTTAGACTTTGCTAGGCTTGTTTTACTGAGTTAAAGAGATTTGTTATACACTATTACCATACTAATAATATATGTTAGCTTGTTAATTTGTAACTTGTCCTGTTTTAATAATTTCCTTGGGAGAAAAGATAAACCTCTTTATAGGCCTTTCTCATCACAACTTATAAATTCTACTTAGTAGTTTTATCACCCAGAGACCTAAATTTAGTAGATCTTTGGGTATGTTAGCTTGCAAAATTTGGTCAGCAATTTGGATTTGTTGTATTTTGTTCAACAGGAAATTATTTCATATTGGTAATGTATTATTCAGACCTTAACATTTGATTTAATAGTTTTTATACAGATCTTACATTTTACCTGAATATTTTTTGGTAGTGACTTTTTTCATATCCTCAAGTTATTATAATGAACATATTATAATAAAAGGAAGAGGGTCCAAAATGTGAAACCCATATAAAGATTTTGCTTAGAAAAAATGCATTCATTATTATTTATTATATAATTTAAAATGTTTATACTTTCCATTTTAGTTTTTCTGTAGAAATCAGCTATTTTTGAAATTTTTATTTTCTTTAATTTTGTGAATTTCATGGGTTCATGAAATAAAATTACAAATGAAGTAAAAATGGTACAGAAGGTATAAAACATACTGAGCTGCAAGAACAATATAAATTTTTAAAAATAATCTTGCAAAAACAGTCTGGAAATGAGTCATATATCTGGATTAATTCAGATTAAGGGGCAGAGGTAAATATTAGTGGTACTGTGAGTAATGAAGAAATTAATGCAGGTATTACAAATTGAAAGGTAAATGCATGCATATTATTAAAATTAGATATTATAAAATTAGATCTTCCAGAGACGTAGAGAGTGGTACAGATTGTCCCTAATGAAAAGAAAACCTCAACAAAATGATTAGTAAAAGTAGACATTTTTATTTTCTTAGTAAAATCTATAAAAATGTAAAATCTTGACAGAGATACTTTATAGATGATGTTACTTTTGTCTATGAATACTAGTATGACAATTACTTCAAAACATTTACAGAAACAAGACACAGTTGAGAAACTGATGCAGCATACAGCTTGTACTGAAAGTGATGATAGTAATACATGCGAAAATGAAGAAATATCAAAAATGAAAGAAGGGAAAGCATATAAACAGGTAGCAAAAGGGATCCTCATGAAGCAAGCAGCTGAGACTTTGGAAGCATTTTCCGATGAGGAAGTAGGTAATGGCTCAGACCAGGTGGGGCCTCAGATCCACACCAATGAAAACTGTATGCAAAAGGAGATACTTAGTGATGAAAATAAGAGTGGTGTTGATCAACTTGATGATAAAGAAATAGAAAAAGAAAATTATGGAGAAGAAATAATCTCTGAGAAGAAAACTGAGCTGGTTGGAGTGACAGGTCTGAATGATATAAGAAAAGGGGAAGAAAATCTAAAATGTGTAAAATATGATATATTATTTGGTGATTTATCAGATAAAGACATGAATACTGAAACTGAAGAAAATAAGGGTTTTGTTAAGGAAAGTAAAAGTAGGAAGCAAGATGAGATCTTTTACAGTGAAAGAAAACTGATAGAAAAACCCAAGAGTTATGTGGAGCATGACAGTTTCCAGCAGCCCAAGTCAATATTACTTAGTAGTGAAGATAATGATGATGAAGTGGAAACTGACCACAACTTGTGGCTCCAAAGACAGTTGGACAAACAAGAATTTAATTTTGAACTCAGAACATCAAGTGTTGTGGCCCAATATAATTTTAAGTATACTGACTTGCCAATGATACCAGAGGAACAGGAAGAAACAGAGGATTTAGAAGAAATTGCAGACATGGAGCAAATGATAGAGGCACATAAGAAAAATGTGGAGGTTCAAGGAGGAAGAAAAGAGGAAGCAGAGAGCCTGTCAGATGCCTATACAGACAGAGCAGAGGTGAGTGAAGGCAAAGAGGAGTCAGGGGAAGAGGCAAAGGATGGGCCTGAAAATGGAGGAGATCAAATCTGTGAAGAGGGTAGCTCAGGGGTAGAACAGTGGCAAAGGGAGGAAGGGCATAAAGACCATGGAGCAGCAGAAATAGAGAACCTGGATGAGGAAGAGAAGGATCTAGAAGAGGGAGAGGAATGGGGAAAAAAAGATGATGAAGAACAGGAGAAAGTGGAGAGAGAGGTAGGGTACCAGGAAGAAAGAAACCAGGGGATGGAGGAAGGAGAAATGAAGGAGCAAGGAGAGGATGAAAAAGAGGAGGAGAAAAAGAGAGGAGGAAAAGAAAGAGAAGGGGCAGAAGAGGAAGGAGAGAGGGAGAAAAGAAAGATGGAAGGAGAGGGGAAAGAGGCTAAAGGAGAGGAGGTCGGGGAGGAAAGAGAGAAGGAAGAAGGAGAGAGGAAGGAGGAACAGGGAGAAGGAGAGGGGGAAGAGGAGGAAGGAAGAGAAAAGGAGGAAGGAATAGGGGAGGAAGAAGAAGGAGAAGAGGAAGAGGAAGGAGAGGGGGAAGATGATGAAGGGGAGAATGAAGAGGAAGAAGGAATGGAAGAAAAGGAGGAAGGGGAGGATGAGGAGGAAAAAGAAAATGAAGGAGAAGTGGAAGAAGTGAAGGAAAGAGAGGATAAAGAAGGGGGAGAGGAAGGAGAAAGGGAAGAAGGAGAGGGAGAAGGGAAGGAAGGAGAAGGGGAAGAAGGAGAGGGAGAAGGGAAGGAAGGAGAGAGGGAAGGGGAGAAAGAAGAAGGGGAATGGGAGGAAGGGGAGGAAAGAGAGGGTGAAGGGGAGGAAGAAGAGGGGGAAGGGGAGGAAGGAGAGGGGGAAAGGGAAGAAGGAGAGGGGGAAGGGGAGGAAGGAGAGGGGGAAGGGGAGGAAGGAGAGGGGGAAGGGGAGGAAGGAGACGGGGAAGGGGAAGAGGAAGGGGAGGGAAGAGACAGGGAAGGGGAGGAGGAAGGGAAGGAAGGAGAGGGGGGAGGGGAGGAAGAGGAGGAAGGGGAGGAAGAAGAGGGGGAAGGGGAGGAAGAAGAGGGGGAAGGGGAGGAGGAAGAGGGTGAGGGAGAGGAAGAGGGTGAAGGAGAGGAGGAAGAGGGTGAAGGAGAGGAGGAAGAGGGGGAAGGAGAGGAGGAAGAGGGTGAAGGAGAGGAGGAAGAGGGGGAAGGAGAGGAAGAAGA